ATTCTACTGCCTGAGGGTTATAATCCCTAAGTGCGGCCGAAGGCCGCTTACGTAGAAAGGAATTCTACGCAAAAATACATTTGTTAAAAAGAACATTTTTTTTTATAAAAACTTTTTTTTTCTATTTTTAATTAACTTTTTATTCTTTATTCAAAATCCCCCCATATCTAATTTGGCATAATTTCTTTTATTAAAAAATCCCACGGTTTCTGTTAGTTGGGTCATATTCCACTTCAAACTGCTCAGTTTGCCTAAGAAAAATCCGTTTTTCCCCCTTTTTCAAACGGTTCCCTAGGTGCCTGTGGGAGGAGTCCAAGGGAGGGGTTCCCCTTTTTAGAAAGCGGCGACTCCTTTCTATTGGGGGGCGTTTTGGGGGCCCCGCCCCTTCCCCCTCCGCCCCCCACCCAAAAAACGGTGTAAGTGGTACTAAACATTTCCCAAACTTTTTAATCTTCCTACACTTGTCAGTCGCAGGGAAATGCTTGGTACATTTTTATGGTTAAATTACTGACAGGCTCAATTTCCAGTCCGCTTTTTGTGGGTGAAGTGAGCGTTGATGCTCCCTCTCGTGTATCACGACACTGTGTCCCCTATTTTTTAAAACTTGTAAAACTAATTCTGAGTAACACGAGCCACTCCCTTGCTTATGCCAGGATTTTAACTCTCATTACAGCACATTAGATATATTCGATTCGCTTTTTTAACATTAAGAAAGCGATACTATCCTCTCTCAATAAATGATTGACTAACATAAATACGCAGCAATCAGCTAATGAATTACGGTCTCTAGATGAATAGTTTTAGATATCGACACATAAAAAACTCCAGCCTTTCGTGACTCGGTCCAAAAATTGAAAAAAAAGTTCCGTACGTCATGCGGACTGCGCCCTCCTGCGGATGGCGGGAGGAGGGCAACCGTTGGGGTTGTTATTATTATTATAAAAGCATGTCCCTATTTTCTTGCTTCGGGCCGATTTTCGAAACATGACCAAGCTTGGCTAGGTTGCAGCATACCGAAGGGCATTCGACGCATCTCGGGAAGTAGGAGGATGACGGGAAGAATAACCTCTGAAAGGCCCTTGGTAGTTTGTATAAAATGCAAAATCTGGAAATTCCTCGGAAAATGTTTTTCGTTTGTGCATTCATCTGCCACATTAACGATAAAACATATCGTCACCTGAAATGCAAAACAACATCGCAACTGATATGGAAAAGAAGTGACTGTATTTTTTTTTTCATAAAATGATGTGGGTGGTTGTAATTCGATGAAATTCATTATATAAATCTAAAAGTGAGATTTTAATTTTTTATTAGTTATTACTTTTTGCATTTCTGCGATGATGTTTTTACGTCATTTTGCATGCATATGTATACATTAGGGTGCCCATCGATTTTTTTTTAATTTCAAAACCCTACCCCCTATTTTCCTTCCTTTTTATGAGAAATATTATTGCCTATTTTTATAGATTTTTTAAAAATCATTTAAAGGTCGCGACTTGTCATTTTAGGTCAGAAAATACGGTTTTGTAGGTTTATCAGTTATTGAATAGCGATTTTTCATTCACTTTTAAAGACCGTACATGTTGTGCGAATGATGTGAATTTTCATCGGGCATATAAAAAAATAAAACTTTTTCTTAATTTATTAAATTTTTACCATCACTAATTTCCACAATTTCAAAATAATCATTATAAATGAACGCGATTTTTTCAAAATTTTATTTTTGATGCAGAAATATTCCTGGAGCATCTAAATGCCTTTCTGCACCAAAAAGAGTTTTGAAAAAATGTCGATTACGTTATTTTAGCAGTTAGGGCTCGATATGTCTGTACATATAAGGGATGTTAATTTTTTCTATTTTTACGATCCCGTTATTTTCAACATCTTAAATCGAAAAAATTTTATCAATATGGTTTGAGAAGTTCTCCTATTATATAATAAATAATAATAAGTAAATGCATATAAATGGGCATTTCTCTGACGTCATGATTTTTTTAAAAAGACTTTATAATTTCAAAGATGTGATTAATTCCAAAACTTGTTTAAAAAATTCAGTGCAATGTAAAACAAAAATATGGGTACCAAATGAGAGAAAAAATTCTGTAGGATTTTTTGGGTTCACAAGGACGAATAGGAATGCCCCTTTAATCTATTTCATTTTTTTAAGCTAATAAAGTTAGTCCTTAACATATAATTTTTTTAAAAATAATAATTGCAAAATTTCAAGGATACAATTATAAAAGGGCATTTACAATACCTACTCGTCCCTTACGCACCAAAAAATGTAATCTGTTTTAATTTTACAGAATCTTCTCTTTAATTTGATACCCGTACTGGTTTTTTAAGTACATTTCACAGAATTTTTTTAATTTTTTTTTTGAATTACTCATATCTTTCAAATTTCAAGGTTCTTTTAAAAATCCTGACGTCAGAGAGAAAAATTAAGAATGCAATTTTACTGTGTTTGGCCCTTGGTTTCGCGAATATATTGCTTTTTGGTGTATAAAATTGCCTGTCGCTAGGTATTATATGTATATTGAGCTACACATTTATAAAAAAAATATTAAATATTAAATATACAAAAGGAAATATAGCAACACAAGGCAAGGGGTGTAGAGCAGGTCGCCTCCGCGTGGTGCACCCTGGGTAACGCTAAATGGCCTGCGGCCTCCACGGCCTCTTAACCTGAACGGTAACGACCCTGGCTTCGTCCTCTGACTACGATTCTGAAAACGTTTTGGATTTGTCGATCCCTGAGCTGGTGGTTGTGGTATTCTACCACCTGAGTATGCTGGGGTGACACTCAGCAGAAATGGCTGGTGGGCTAATGCCGCAACTGCCCCCGTCCCGTTAAAACCCTGGCAGGCCTCAGGGTACGTTCCAATTCCCGTCGCCGTTTAGTTGGTGGTGTAGGTGCGGTTGAGATGACTCCCGTCTTTGCGCTGGTCGGCTCTGAACTCATGACCCCATAAGGGCATGGGTCAACCCTCGCCATAGTCTTGTTCAGAGGTAGCTATGGGACCATTTAAAGGCGACTACACGCTCGGGTTTTGGATAGCGGCTCTGAGTGGGGACCCAATAGAAATGAAGAATAATGAAAATAACGAAAACAAAAAAAAAACAAAAAAATTACAAAAAACAAGCATTCGAGCGGTGGCGGGGAGTCGGAGCCGACCCCCAAAGCCGGCTCATCTGGGGGGGCTACAACACCACCTTCGGTACGCGAGGCGAAACCGCCTCGCTCTACAATTTCCATCTCTGGGGGATCCTTAACGGATGGTCGCTCGGGGGGTAAGAACGCGTCGAAGCCGACGCACTTAAACGCTTCTAGGGGGGCAGGTGCTGTCGCCACTGGGAGGGCAGGAGTGCCGGAACCGGACTCCGTGGGGGTCTCTAGGCAAGGGGCCGGACTGAGAGAGCGATTAAGGGGGGTGCTAGACGGAATCGCCAGCACCAGCGCGGGTTCCTCTCCCAGTCTTCCGGGTCTGTCCTCGAAGGCTCCCTACAAGAAGCCTTCGGGAATGCCTAAACGGCAAATATCGTCGGGCCGAAAGGCTTACTCCGACTGGCGCATGGCTACCAAGATTTTGGAGCGCTATGGCGGTCAAGATGCTTCTCAGCTTACTGAGAAACATTTGAAAACGCTCGAGTGGGCCAAAGGGGTGCTGTGTGGCCGGGATGAGAAGGCTAAGAACCCGACGAAAGGAGACGCGAGTGCGCCTCCTACGGGTCCTAAGAGACAAAGGTCTCAAGAGGGAGAAGGCTCCCACGCAAAAAGACCCAGAAATGGGGTTGCGCCTGCTCTGTTCAGCGAAATCGCTAAGCAGGCGGGATCAACTACCCTGGGGGTCCTCGATCGAGGCAGAGAAGATGGCACCATATCCAGGGAAAACTGGAGGCGCGTGGCAGCGGCCATCTCCTCTGTCTTTCTAAGGGTGGTCAGAGGAAACCCTGGTCCACCTCCGCGCTGTGAGGATGGTGGGTGGCATCATGGCATCCACAAAAGAATTGTATGCGCCGACGAGCGGTCGGCATCGTTATACAAGTCTGCAGTGTCTCTGGTGGGGGAGGTTTGGGAGGGCGCCAAGCTGGAAGCCGTGGAGGAAAAGGATCTTCCTGCCCGCCCGCGGGCCCGTGTCTGGCTCCCCCCCGAGCCCTCCGCACCGGAGGAGATTGAGGAAATCCTCCGTTACTGCAACCCGCAACTGCCCACGCACAACTGGAGGGTTGTCAGATTCGAGGGGTCCGAGGATTCCGAGGAGTCGCATCGGCAAGCGCTGATTCTACTCAATGCGGAATCCCTCGGCCCTCTCGCTGAGTCCAGGGGAGTCATCACCTATGGATTCGAAAGGGTAGTCCTTAGGGTCTACCAATCCGATTCCAGGGGTGATGGCTCACAACCTCCTGAGGTGCTGGAAGCACGTGAGCCCGCGGCGGAGGAAGCCCCCATGAGCATGGAGGTGGAATCCGTCGTGTCGGGGGCCGAAAGTGCTGAGGATGCCCTCTCAACGGAGGGATCCGTCGTCAGCATCGGACGGTTCTACGACAGGGCGGAGGAAGAGAGGCTCTTAGCCTCAGTAAACGAGGACGTCGAACTGGCGTGGCTGGAGCGGACTTTGGAGGATGAAGATCCTGCAAATAAACCTCCAACATTCTAAGGCGGCGTCCGCAAATCTCCTTATCCACCTTGAGCAAGGTGGAGCCGATGTAGTCCTGATCCAGGAGCCGTGGCTAAGCAGTAGCGGTATCTCCGGGATCAGGACGCCTAATTTCAAGCTGATGGTGCAGAATCAAGCAGGTAGACCAAGATCCTGCATGCTCATCAGAAACGAACTCAAAGCACTAATTCTACCTAATTTCAGCAACGAGGACATTGTGACTGTCAGCCTGGATAGCGGTGCCGGAAAGCTCTGGATCATATCCGCTTACATGGCTCATGATGACGAGGTGGAACCACCTCCATTACTGCTGCGTGAAGCCATAGCCGAAGCGAGGCGAAGGAAAGCCGACGTAATTATTGGGTCGGATGCAAATTCACGACACTCGTGCTGGGGAAGCTCAGATATAAATGCAAGAGGTGAGTCACTTTTTGATTATATTCTAAGTGAAGACTTATGTATCTGTAATAGAGGAAACGAACCGACCTTTATCACCGCGGCAAGGCAAGAGGTCCTTGACCTCACCCTAGCCTCGTCTTCTGTAATATCCCGCGTTTCCGACTGGAGGGTTCTTAATGATCACATCTTTTCGGACCATAGGTATATTCAGTTTTTTCTGGACGAAGATCGTCCCAAAAGTATCCCCTTTAGGAACCTTAGGAGAACAAACTGGGACCTCTATAGTAAAAAACTTCGGGAACTACTCCCAGAGGCCCCCCAGGAGAGCTTAAGCACCGAAGGCTCGATTGATGTTATGGTGGAAAAGTTTACATCAGCTTGTAGGAGTGCCATCGAAATCTCTTGCCCGCTGAGTAGGCCGGGGGGCAAAGTACGACCAAAATGGTGGACGGTGGAACTCTCAGAACTCAGGGCGACGAGTAGACGCCTGTTCAATAAAGCCAGGAAGAGTGGACAACACTCCGACTGGGAACTCTATAAGATCGGACTGGGCATCTATAAGTCCGAGATAAGAAAGGCCAAGAGCGAGTCATGGAGAAACTTCTGCGAAGCCGTAGAAGGTTGTAATGAATCATCTCGATTTAGGCGAATCCTTGCGAGGAATCCCGTACCCTTGGGATACCTGAGGGACGAAGAGGGCAACTGGGCGATGAGTGGAGAGGAATCGCTTAAGCTACTCCTTGATACTCATTTCCCAGAAAATCCTGCACCGCACGAACCTATCGCTGTTGGAAAGGGCGAATGCTCTACCTCCTCCTCCGGTGAATTACTGGAGAGGCGCCGACTGCTCTGGGCAATCGACTCTTTCAAGCCCTTCAAGTCCCCGGGACCGGATGGCATCATTCCTGCGCAGCTGCAAAAGGCTGTGGAGGTCTCGTGCCGCTGGCTCACCCCTATCTATGCGAGCTGCCTAGAAAGAGGATACATCCCGGGGGCTTGGAGGTGCGTAAGGGTCACGTTCATCCCCAAAGCAGGGAAGAACTCTCATGTATCCCCGAGGGACTTCAGACCAATCAGTCTCTCATCTTTCTTATTGAAGACTTTTGAGAGACTGATTGACCTGCACATAAGAAACAGGATTCCTCGAGAGCGTTTTAGCCCCTCTCAACACGCCTACCTGAAAGGTAGATCCGTGGAATCTGCCCTGCACTCAATCGTCAAAACCATAGAGGAGTCTCTTAAAAACAAAGATTTTGTAGTGGGTACCTTCCTTGATATCGAGGGGGCTTTCAATAATGTCCTTCCTGGGGCGATAATAAGAGCCCTTACTAAGCTCGGAGTCGAGAGCTACTTAGTAAGGCTCATCTCACACTTGCTGCACGACAGAACTGTCACAGCGGAATGGGGCAACGCCTCTGAGCAGCGTAAAGTAATCAGAGGCACCCCGCAGGGAGGCGTCCTTTCACCCTTCCTCTGGATAGTCGTGATAAACGACGTCCTGGAGGAATTGGAGAGGACAGGATGCCGGGTTATTGCCTACGCGGATGACGTGGCACTCATCGTCAGAGGAAAGTTCTTGAACACTCTGTACGATCTCATGCAAGGGTACCTAAACAGGGTCACAAATTGGTCCGCTAGCTGCGGGCTTGCTGTCAATCCTGGAAAGACGGAGCTCGTTCTTTTTACCAGTAGGTACAAAAAGCCTCATGCCCAGCTTCCCTCAATAGGGGGTGTTCCACTTGTTCTCTCTGACAGGGTCAAGTTCTTGGGCGTGATCCTGGACGGAAAACTGTCATGGAAACCTAATATTGAGGAACGAGTGAGGAAGGCATCGGTGGCCCTCTACTGCTGCAAGAATGCCATAGGGAAGAGATGGGGCCTCTCCCCAAAAGTGATGTATTGGCTATATGAAACCATAATTAAGCCAATAATGTTGTATGGGGTCATCGTCTGGTGGAGTTCACTGGAAAAGACCACTCATGTTAGGAAGCTAGAGCGCGTGCAAAGGGCAGCCCTCGTTGGGATCAGCGGGGCGCTCCGAACCACTCCCACCTTAGCGCTAAACGCTATACTCAATGTCGCACCTGTCGATATTTCGGGCAAAGTAGCGGCGGTTCGCTCAGCCATTAGGCTCAAAAGCTCTGGGTTCTCTTTCAATCCAGCGCACGGACACTCGACAATTCTCGAAAGCTTCGACTTCGTACCGAAAGAAATGGACCGGGGTCACCCGAGGCTGGCCCCTAAAGGATCCTTCTCCACGCACATCCCCTCTAGGAATGAATGGAAGAGGGGTGGTCTCTGGAGAAGAGGTCCAATAAACATCTTTACGGACGGATCGAAGCTGGAAGGGAGAGTTGGAGGAGGTGTCTACTGTCAGGAACTCTCAGTAGATCTTACTTTCAGACTGCCGGATCTCTGCAGCGTCTTTCAGGCAGAGGTGGCCGCTATAAAGGAGGCAGCCGATTGGCTACGCACCAATGTACTGTCAAAAAGGAGGGTAAATATATATACTGATAGCCAGGCGGCAATCAGGGCGCTGGGATCGCTAATGGTGTGCTCAAAACTGGTTGGGGAATGCCTGACCTCTCTCTCAACTGCCTCGGAGTACTTCCAGATCAAGCTGATTTGGGTCCCGGGGCACAGCGATATCGCGGGAAATTGCAGGGCTGATGAACTGGCCAGGCAAGGCACCCTTGAGGCCATCACCTCGGATAGGGAGGGCATTGGAGTTCCGTTGGCAACCTGCGGCCTGCTTTTGGACAGATGGGCTCATGGTCGGCTCAGCGAGCGCTGGGAAAAAGGTCCTTCTGGCCGGTTGTGGACCGCGGGCGGTCAAGGGAACTGCTGCAGCTGGCTAAGCGTCAGCTCTCGATTTTCACAGGTGTACTGACCGGACACTGTCCAATGGGAACCCACGCGGTGCGACTCAATATCGTCACGGATCCCTACAGCCGCAGTTGCCTGGAAGACGAGGTGGAATCATCTCAGCACTTCCTACTCAACTGCCCGGCATTCGCTAGATTACGGTTTAAGCATCTCGGTGCGCATTTCATCGACACTCCCAAGGGACTCTCCGGAGTGGACATCAGCTGTTTGAAGAACTTCATTATGAGCACCCAGCGCTTCTCGTAATTTTTACGCAGTTACCGTTCCTATGTAATGTGGTATCACAATGGACAATCAAATGTCTAAGTGAGTCCCCTTTGCGGGTCTGCCACCTTAACCTAACCTAACCTAACACAAGGCATTTCTATTTTCCCCTAATTTGCTGGATTTTTGTGTACGCGAACAGGAAAATCTAAACGCGAATAAACCTATCCTATTGTACGTAAGATAGATATTAATGAAAATTCAAAAGATCCCTTTGGCGAAATTTTCAACATCTGGTTTTACGTCAGTTAAAGCCATTCGTACCAGTTCGATTAAATGTTGGTTAGTCAATAGGTACGTTCGTTTAAAATCTCCAGTAAAAAATGTCCAACAGTGAAACTCCGGCGAAATGTCATCTGTTCTTTCACAAGAGAAAAATATCCAATATAGTATGCGAACAGAAAAGTTAGACGAGCAGCTGATAGAAATTTTGTTTACATTCACAAAAATTTAAAACGTCAGAAAACCAATCCCGAAGTCTTATCCTGAAACATTTCACTGACTAAATTAGTAATCACTTACTTCTTATAAGTTTAATTAGTCGCATTGTACTATTTTAACTTCCAAACAATCAAATTCAATTTAGGGATTTGCGTAAATTCCAACCGCTGTTTTGGATCAGCTGTTTTCTTGTTGGCAAAAATTTTTCCAGCAGAAACTAGCAGATTTCCCTCAAATGAAATGTCATTTTGCTCTCCCGATTTCCACTACGCGGACACAAAAGGCTGATAATTTATACAACTTTCAATAATATGCGAATGCAACTAATTGTGAACGGTATTTTTACTTTATGAATTTCTTTGTAGAGTACAAAGAGTCACAGTTATACATTGTAGCAAAAATTGAAAATATACGTCACGCAGCTGTTTTCGACAGCGGGTATTTTAAATCTGGTACTTGTTAGTGATGTCGGAAAAATATCGATACACTGAAAATATCGAGGTTTTGTTTCGATGCCTCGTAAGTTTTCCACTCGATGTATAAATAATCGATGTATCGATTCATCGATGTTTTTTGAAAACTGACATCTCTAGTACATTTAACCGTCGTTCCCGCTTTTGAATTGTACTACGGTTGCCAGACGTACTGATTTTATCAGTACAGTACTTATTTTTCAACTCTTGTACAGATTTTATTAGTTTCTTTAATCAGTACGCTAATGTCCTGATTTTTCAAAATTTGTATTGATTTGTACTGAATTTTCAATTCAAACAAAATACTTTAGGATTTTCTTAAGGTTTTTACATAACTTTGGAACTTCCTTAAACTGTACTGTGAAAAGTAAGAAGAAAATAATTTAATTATAGTTCACATGTTTTAGCTTGGCAATACTGTCTTTCGATCGATGCTTCCTCTTTTTCTTGTCGAGTTCGTCTTGCTCTCTCATTCTGGTATTTTTTGACGTCACGGCCAGTTGCTCTCAGGTCGATTGGCGCAATATTGTATTCTATCATTCTTGAGCGTTGACAACAATTCGAGATAGAAAACTAACTCTAGGCGAGAGGTAACTATTGTTTACCGTGTACACAGCTTGTAGAGTACGTGGTAGAGAAAAGTTGAGATTTATCTATTTTGTCTCTAGCTAGAGTGAATATCTCCAAGAGTTGCTCTACCGTGTAAACTTAATTGAGAGAAGAGATTGTTTTTCAGTAAAACTGTATAGAGATTTCTCTACCGTGTACGGTTAGCTTTATATTTTCGCTTTGAATAGAGAAAGCCTGATTCATTACCTTTCCAATGGAAAAGTAAAAAAACGAAATTATGAAAATTTTTTATAAAAATGTATGTTTTTCGTAAAAAATACGTAATTGTCTATATTAACAAATATATTTACCGGAAAGGCCATAAAAATACCTTTAATTTGGCGTATAATTTTATATAGTTAGGTTTAAGTACAACTGCCAGCAGTGCAATAAAACAACTGTATTAATGTTACATGTTCTCTGCAAAAGGTGTTCAGCCCCTTTTATTTGGCAACACAGAAAGAAGAATTCTACGTAGTGAGGGTTATAATCCCTAAGCGCGG